TGTGTGTGTGTGTGTGTGTGTGTGTGTGTGTGTGTGTGTGTGTGTGTGTGTTTGTTTGTTTGACTGGTTGTAGGGTTTCTCATCAACCCTTATGTGGAATTTTTACTGTATTTTATTTAAACTAGCAGAAAGTACACACAGAGCAAAATGCATCTGGCCCAGATCAGGCCCACACAATGCTCACCCTAAAGAATCACAGCCCTTTTGGTGGCTTGGATGTGGTTTGCCAAAGGTGATCCATATATGGGTCAGCAACAAATAAACCAAACAACTGGGCCATCAACCATTTGACATGTAAGCAGTCAGCCAGCAGTGYCAGCTTGACACCAGACTTGGCCCACACCTGTCTGATCGATGATGATGATGATTTGGCATCCTTCTAGAAGACCTACGTATGACTTATTATGGTCAAAGTTTTTCTGCTGGTGATCAATGTGGGCAACTCCTACATTGGTTCACACACCTGTCCACTATGTGGATAGTCCCTGAACTCTTTTTTTCCCCTGCTCTCAGAGGAGTAAGATGCTTTTCCCTCTCTCCTACCTTATTTGCTTTGCTGCTTTGCTCTGTTTTCATCCGAAGCCAGAAATTATGGATATTTTTATTTTTTTTATTTTTATGGATTTGGTTAGCTGGTCTAAATTTTTGGAACAAAGTTTTTTGTTTTTTCCATGGGAGGACATGTCAAAGGTGGGACCTCTTTTCTGCTCTGTTCTGGATTTGGATTCTGATCACTGGATTCCACAGATTTGGCTTGGTTGTTTCCTGGTGTTTTACAAAGCAGCGTCTGTGGCTGTTCAGGCCATTTCCTGGCTGCTTGACCATTATGAAGGATGGCCATACTATCAACCCTCAGACTTTTGCCTCGTGCAAGCTGGTGACTTGGTCTGCAAGCGGTGCTGCTGAGGGTCGCGGGCCGGCTGTGGTTCCTGGACTTTACTGGCCAGATGGAATTGATCTTGGAGAAGCTGAGAGCTYGGCTCGGGGGGATTGCCCACATTATTTGTCTGATTGGATTCGCCATGTTGGATGTACCAGCGGACATGAAGGCAGATGGAAAATTATTATTGTCTGCCTGACTGAAAACATTTTCTTCTGTTCCCAAACAACTGATTACAGATTAGGCTCGCCCCCTGCCATGCTGACCTTGAAGGCTGTGGAACTAAATTCCTCCTAAAAATGTCTTACTCAGTTTTACAGACATTGAGTTGAAATTTGGTGYGTCCATATGTGGTCTTGGCACCAGGACATCCTAGGCCGCAGCTCGATGATCGACTTTATTGTYGTTTCATCTGATCTGCGGCCACATGTTTTGGACAGTCAGGTGAAGAGAGAAGCGGAGCTGTCAACTGACCACTACCTGGTGGTGAGTTGGCTTTGCTGGTGGGGGAGGATGCCGGTCAGACCTGGCAGACTCAAACATATAGTGAGGGTCTGCTGGGAACGTCTGTCAGAGTCTCCCGTCAGACGGAGCTTTAACTCACACCTTCAGGAGAACTTTGAACATGCTCCRGGGGAGGTGGGGGACATTCAGTCCAAGTGGGCYATATTCCATGCCTCCATTGTCGAGGCGGCTTACCTGAGCTCTGGCCGTAAGGCTGTCGGTGCCTGTCATGGCAGCAAACCTCGAACCYGCTGGTGGACATCAGCGGTGAGGGATGCTGTCAGGCTGAAGAAGGAGTCCTATTGGGTCTTTTTGGCCTGTGGGACTCTGGAAGCAGCCGATAGGTATCASCAGTCCAAGCGGATTGCGACTCGGGTGGTCGTTGAGGCAAAAACGTGGACGTGGGAAGAGTTMGGAGAGGCCATGGAAAAAGACTTCTATATGGCTTCGAGGTGATTCTGGTCCRCCATCCGGCGTGTCGGGGGGAAGCGGTTCGCCACCAACACTATTTATGGTGGGGATGGYGCGCCGCTGACCTCAACTCTGGATGTTTTGGGTCGGTGGGCGRAATACTTTGAAGACTTCCTCTCCCATGAGGAAGCAAAGCATGAAGACTCTGGGTCAGACACACCAATCTCTGGTGCCAAGGTCACTGAGGTGGTTAAAAAGCTCCTCTGTGGCAGGGTGCTGGGGATGGATGAGTTTCGCCCAGAGTTCCTCAAGGCTCTGGATGTTGTGGGGTTGCATTGGTTGATATGACTCTACAATATTGTGTGACCATCGGGGACAGTTCCTCTGGATTGGCAGAATGAGGTGGTGATCCCCCTATTTAAAAAGGGGGACCGCAGAGTGTGTTCCAACTACAGGGGGATCACACTTCTGATCCTCCCTGCTAAGGTCTATTCAGGGGTCCTAAATAGGAGGGTCCATTGGATAGCTGAACCTTAGATTCAGGAAGAGCAGTGTGGTTTTCTTCCTGGTCATGGACCAGCTCTACACCCTCAGTAGGGTCCTGGAGGGTGCATGGGAGTTTGCCCAAGCAGTCAACATGTGCTTTGTGGATTTGGAGAAGGCGTTCGACCATGTCCCTCGGGGRCTCTTATGGGG